AAAAATTCCCAAAAAAACTCAAAAAATCCCCAAAAATTCCCAAATTTCCCAAAAAAATCCCCAAAAATCCCCAAAAAATCCCAAAAACTCCCAAATTTCCCCCAAAAATCCCCAAAAATTCCCCAAAATTTCCCAAATTTCCCCAAAAATTCCCCAAAAATTCCCGAAAAATTCCCCAAAAATCCCGAAATTCCCGCTCCCCTCCCCCACCTTTCGGGGGCTCCTCGGGCCCCTCCCCCGCCGCCTTTTGCCCAATTTCGTCTTTTTTCTCCTCATTTTGTTCCTCTTTTTTCTCCTCTTTTTTCTCTTCTTTTTTCTCTTTTTTCTCCTTTTTCGCCTCTTTTTTGGCAGCTGCCGGGGAGGGGAAAAAATCGAAATAAAACCAAAAAATTACAAAAGAAAATGAAATAAAATTCAAAAGAAATAAAAATTAAAATCAATAAAATTAAAATTAAAATTAAAAAAAATGAAAAATTAAAAGAAAAGAATGAAAAATTAAACTAAAACGGAAAATTAAAAAAAAATATTTAAAGTTAAAATAAAAAGTGAAAAATTAAAATAAAAGAATGAAAAAATAAAATAAAACTGAAAATTAAAAAAAATATTTAAAATTAAAATAAAAAATGAAAAATTAAAAGAAAAGAATGAAAAATTAAAATAAAACTGAAAATTAAAAAAAATATTTAAAATTAAAATAAAAAATGAAAAATTAAGATTAAAAAACGAACATTTAAAATAAAAAGTGAACAATTAAAAGAAAAACATAACAATTAAAATAAAACTGAAAATGTAAAAACAAAATTAAAATTAAAATTAAAAAATGAAAATTTAAAATAAAAAAAAGAAAAATTAAAAGAAAAAAACAATTAAAATAAAAAAGAAACTAAAAGAAGGAAAATGAAAAGTGAAAATAAATAAAACAAAGAAGTAAAATTTTAAAAGAGAAAAATTAAAATTAAAAAAGGAAAAACTAAATTGAAAAATTAAAAGTTTCAAAAATGAAAACTTAGAATTAAAAAATGAAAAATTAAAATAGAATAGATTAAAAACTAAAACTAAAAAATGAAAACCTAAAATTAAAAAATGGAAAAATTAAAATAAAAAACGAAAAATTAAAATTAAAAAAAAAATGAAGAACTAAAATTTTAAAAATTTAAAAAAAATTAAAACAAAAAATGAAATGAAACAAAGAAAATTAAAGACAAAACATTTTCCCCACAATCAAAAAACTTTAAAAAATTTAAAAAAATTCAAATTAAATTTTTTTTTTTG